TGTCTGTTTTACGTGTGGAGCTATTGCTCCATTCAATATGCAAGTTGTCTTCATTCTTGCGCTGTGGTAGTTCTTAGCTATGTTGCTGTCAGGAAATATCTCTTTAAACATTGGACTAAGCGTATCAGCAAATACCAGAGGGATGTTGTTTTCAACTAAGAGTGTAGCAACTTTAATTTCTGCAGTTGTGACCTAAAAATGGAATAAGATTTTAGAAAAATACTATTATAATTAATTATTTCACTAGAAGTAACACAAATTGTTTTAAACAACCATACACTGATATACATACACTATTACTACAACAATATGTTAATGTATTACCTTATCTTTCAGTGGATCCAAGGTAGAAATAAACCCAAATTAACTTAACGGTGCTGCATTGGTCCTAGCTCGTACATTTTTCTGCTGCTTTTCACCTTCAATATGTCTTGTCACATCAGATTCCCCTTGATGAGCACAGCTGCAAACTTTGTCGCACACCGTACACCTGAACTCACTTGGTGAACGAGGAACAGCAATAATACAAGGCCACTTTTTTGACCAGGATGGCTGAAATTTTGACTTGAATCGCGCAGCACCGTCAAATTTAGTAGAAGAAGCGGAAGAACCATCTAAAGAACCATCAACTTTTGCTTTCTTTCGGCCACAATCACGCGAAGTTTCGGCCATTATTTTTTGTATAGCGAGATTCTCAATAACACACTAACGACACATCCAGTTAGAATCTATTTTATTTATGATATTTTTATGATACTTTCTCTACATTTATACTTTCCACCTAATGTGGGTGTTTAACTATGACTATTCATTTTCTACGTAAAGGAAGGGAGGTGCGGGAAGGGAGCGCTTACCACAAAATGCGTTATCATGCCTACGCGCGAATAATGCTAATTCATCACGCGAAATTAATAAGATTATAGTTTATATTTTACATAAAGCGTTGTCTGGGGAAATCCCTCAATAACTAAGTGTCAATTTACTAATTTGCGCAATAGTCCAACTTACGCAACACTATACGTTATACCGCAACTGCTCGAAAAATACTTTATTTTATAGCTATTGATTCAGCTAGATCGGAATATTTTCTTGTGAAGAGAAGCGTTAAAACAAAAGTTGGATCGCTTCCTATTTTTTCGCTTTTGCGTGAGAAAATAGTGTTTATGTGTGTGAGCGTGAGAAATATGTCAAATGCGTGTGTCTGATGCAAAATGCGTGAGAGTTTGAAGGTCTGTTCACATGTATAATTAAATAACAGGTTTCCTGCTCCAAATATTTTTTTCTATACATTCATAAGGCAAACATTACATTTTAGCAGCGGATAGAGCTTTTTGCTCTAGTCTAAAAATATCCAGCCAGATACTTTTATACACTACAAGGTTTTGTGGTGGGTGTTTATAATATTTCGACTTGAAATAATACGACACATTCTAATATTGGTAAAGTAATTGCACTATTTCTCATTCACATGCAAACAAGCATGCCTGTGCAGTTCTGAAAATTTGCTGTGCGTGTAATAGGTATACATGTTACGATACAAAGCCAACAAAGGGCCAAAGGGGGTAGAACAAGGTTGTCCGCAAATGACGCTATATTCCGCTATCAAAATTCGTTCGTATGTTATTTTTGTCTTTCCCCCTTTTTTTTCCTTTCCTTTTTTCTTTCTGCCAGCATAAAAAATTTTCTGGGACCAATGGTCCCATGGTTCGCTATCTTTCCACCCCTGGCATTGAGGGCCAAACAAATGAAAAAGCACAATTAACACAACTATATATGTATCTTCGATATATACCATCCGCTAACATACTTCACAAGCAAGGTCAACCCAAGACTCTGTGAGGTTTGCTATAGCCACAATACACAGTCACACCATTATTCAATGTTTCATTAAAAATCACAACATCTCTCCAGTACCGTGCGCTAACATACTTCACAAGCACAGTCAACCCAAGACTCTGTGAAGTTTGCTATAGCCCCAATACACATTCACATCATTATTCAATGTTTCATTATAAATCACAACATCTTTTCAATACCATCCATTTATCTCCTTAATGTAATTTTGTTGTACTAATGTAATGGTTTGTCCAAGGCCATTCCGCATGCCATTCGACCCATGTTCGCCTTTCTCTACAGTCATTTTCAATGATATTGACCCAATATATTACACTATTCATACCACGAAATTTTATTTTTGAGTGAAAAATATAAATGGCGGCAAGCATAAACTTAGAGGGCTTTGATGATTTACTAGACAATGTGTTAAAGAAAGTCAATCACCGTTTCCATTGTGAGAAATAGACACAAGAAGAAAAGCAGAAATTTGAGAGTGCTGTTTTGGAAAAGCTTCCCAAGGATTACCTTTACGAAGTCAATGAATGTTTAGGTACTGAATCACAGTTTAAGTTGAAGGTAACTACAGATAATCTTTCGTCGAATGATTTAAAAGGATCGCTTGCCGAATTTCAAGCCCTCAACAATGTAATTCTCAAAGTTAGAGCAAAGAAGAGAGAAACGAAGGGTTATTCGACCCAGCATTACTATAGATGCCAACATGACACCAGACGCTGGAGTCCAAGTAAGG